CTCTCTCTCTCTCTCTCTCTCTCTCTCTCTCTCTCTCTCTCTCTCTCTCTCTCTCTCTCTCTCTCTCTCTCTCTCTCTCTCTCTCTCTCTCTCTCTCTCTCTCTCTCTCTCTCTCTCTCTCTCTCTCTCTCTCTCTCTCTCTCTCTCTCTCTCTCTCTCTCTCTCTCTCGCTGTCTCGCTCTCGCGTCTCATATCAAACGCGCGGTCCTCCCGACGATGCGACTTGAGGCCGATTTTCGCTCGTTTCGTGTCACAATCGCTATGACATTGAACACGACTCGGCGAGTGGAAAAATGCGCCGTTGCCACCGATGTCGGCAGGAACCGATAGCGTTCAACGTAGTTTGTGATGAGAATCGTCACGTTTCATATAAACTTGACCGGCGCGTTAAATGCGCGAGTACACTCAGCCTCGATATTGGTGTAACGACAAAAAGTGTATTCATCCGCCACTCGCCAGTTGGTAAAAACGCCCTCGAAAACGTTGACGCTGTCACCGTGGATCGGTAACAACCCCCTTCGAAGCGGGTCGCTTCGCTAGAGAATCGATCTCTCTCTCTCGAGGAAGCCGCTCACGAAAATGCACTCTGCGTGTGTATGTATCGAAACGAAAGTATGAAGACTGTTGTAGCCTAATCATCGTGATTTGAATGTCTTTACTCCGACAATAAAACAAGGGGGAAAAATCCAAAACCCTACCCATAAATTTATCCTTCGGTTATAAATAGAGAGACAAGTGTGACGATGCCAGAGCATTCATGGATTTTCCGTTCAAGTTCTCGCCGCTCGTTCGCTTCATTCTCTTCGTCGTGAAAAAGTTTTCACAGAACTATTGTCGGGAAGGACCACTGTAACGCGCGGACCGGTGAAGTTCGCCGGCGTTTTATCGGAAGTCCTTCAGCACCCGCGATCGGGTAAAGTCGCTTGCGCGCATTAATCGGGACACCGATGCGATGGTGCGCCGGTTAAGCCGCGCAGCATCTAATTATAGCAGCGGCTAATCAGGTCGTGATATGAAGATTTTATTTACGCCGCGATACGTGAGGACACGGCGCGAATTAATAAGCGTATCGCAATGTTGCGGGAATGATAACGCGCGCGCGCGCGCGCGTCTGTTAAACCACGTCGCATTCGGCCTTGGGACAGTCCGGCGAACGACTATTTTCTAGACAAGGTCAACCGAGACTTTACTAGTCTCCGCTTATCGGTTTATCAATGTCATCGTCTCTCGAGTGGATGTTTTCCAGAATCGGCGTAGTTCCAGCGATAGTATGTACATAGACTCTATGCGTGATTTTTTCACGAATGAGACGAAGCAAGAGCTCTCTTAATCTGACGGAGGACCGAATCAACAAAATTAAAAAAGATCCATGAGATTATTTAGTGCTTACTGTACACTATTTTGTGCTACCAAAAATAATCTTGTATCTCGTGCCACTTAAAAGAAAATCGCGGTCTTGCTAATTCGATAGAAGTTGGCAGGACCAAAAGAAATATTTATTCTTAGTTTCAAAATATTGCAAAATTATGACATGTCACCGAGCTGTCAAAAGTTTCACATTAATAAAAAATTAGTTCACCCTTTAATGATAAAAATCTTGACCATCTTAATAATATAATAATATCAACTTTATATTAATCTTATCTAATAATACCTTCTTGATATTATGTGCTTATACATACATAAAAGTTAATTTCGTCTACATGATCAATTTTAAATTTCAAAGACGTTTCCATTTCTTAAAACAAGAACTGCATTACTAATAAAAAATTATTGTTCTGTGTTTGCAGTTTGAACAACAAGATGCACGCGATGGAGGGTGCGATCGAAAGCAAAAAGAAGGTGAGCACCGCGGAGGACAACAAGCCGCCGAAAACGTCGCCGTCCTCGTCGAAGGTACCACAGAACCAGCAGAACGGCGCCGCCCTTCCGGAGGAGACGGCCGCGGCGTCGACGACGGCGGTGGGTCACATTCGCACCAAGAAGGAAACAGTGACGAAGGATGAGATGCAGGAGGACGCCGAAATGTCGGACACGAAGATCAGCAAGCAGTTGCTCGCGAGTACGTCGCGGCAGAAGGACTCGAGCCCCACCGATCTCACGCAACATCACGCCGAGCCCGTCGAGAGCGTTAAAAAACGGAAGTCCACCGAGGGACAATTATCCTCGTTTGGTAATCGTAGAAAGAAGATTTGCGTCGACAGCGAGCGGGAGAAATACATCTCAGAAGTTGTCGGCGATGAAAGTAAGACGATCGACCAGCTCATGGATAAGGCCGGTCAGCTACGACATGAAATTCTGGTGAGTGTCTGAAGACGTGACTTTTGTTTTGCCTTCTTTTTTTTTTACAATGTTTATGTAATGTTTTCTATGTTTACAGTACCTCGAGAATTCAGCGCGCGAGAAAGAAATGGAATGGAACGAGATTCTGAGAAAGCGGAAGTTGAAAGAGGAAGCATACGCGAGGCTCGAGAGAAAAATACATATGATAGTCTATATGGAGAACGACGGTCAGCTGCAGATGCCGTCCACTAAATCGTCATTGGCCTCGATCGACTGGGAGAACAGTGGCAACACTACTCCCATATCGAGGGAGAAATCTTTCGGATCTAAGGACGATCTGTCCGAAGAGAGATCTTCGGATTCAGTAGCACCGAAGAGAGAGAGGACTGCGAAGACTACCTCACAGCAACGGACGACTCCGCCGAAAACCAACGGAGAAAGCAGTCGCAAGCAGAACGAAGCGTCGAGCCCGGATAGTCGGCAGATCGGAGAAGGCCGACAAGGTGCAATAGTGGATGTCAGATCTATCATCGCCGATCATAGACTCAAGCATCCGGAAGCCGTACCGAGAAGGTAATTAATTCGGCATAAACGAGATAGAGATTTCCGTAAAGTTTTGAGAAATATAAATTTTCTCAAATCGGCAGAGTTATTAAAGATTGCGAAAACAATGCGAGTGCAATATAATTTACAATTTTTTAAATATTAATATTGGTAAAATTTAATTTGGATATTGGAAATTTAATTTGAATATTTTATTTGTTCCATCATTATTTTACCTTTTAAAAAACGAATATAATTTAACTTTAATTTTATTTAATATTAATTTTATTTAATAATTAAATAAATATATGATAATCGAATTATAGAGGTCGGAGGATGAGGAATTCGGTGAACATCGGCCTTGGAGCTGGCGGCGCCATGGTCGAGACGGGGCACAATGCCGACTCGAGACCATCTAGCACGGAATCGTGCAAGAGTAATCCAAGTACGAGCGATTCTATGAACTACAAGGATATACTAATGCAATTTGCCAAAATGAGCCAGCAAGGTAACGTCGTTTTTTTTTTTTTTTCTTTATTCCTAAACCAATTGAGTTTGTATCACAAGCGTATCAGAGATAATTTGCAATGCGTTAACGATTAGTAATTAAAGATTACATTCCTAACTTCAATGTTTAGGTGAACCAGTCAAGGTACCGCAGAATTATCCAGATGTGACACTTCATCCTGTAGCACCTTCGTCCGCAGGTCAAAATACCGCGTCTCAACCGAGTGGTTCGCTACTTCACGGGATTCTAACAAAAGCGCAGTCGCCGAGATCCAATACTTTTTCACCTACTTTAGCTAGATTACTCACCGCACCTGAAAGAGAAAGGAATTCTCCGGTGACCGCGGCGGTGGCGTCTATGTCGCAGCAAAGCGCCACAACCCATTTGCAGACATACCAAGGCTCTAATATGGTTTCCATAAACGATCTCCTATCTTCTTCCAAGGTTAGCTTGATTGACAGATTGTTGGCTTGATTTTTGCGATTTTTTTTATTAACAGCGTAATTAGTGTAGTAAGTACTGTGCGTATATATAAGAATGTAATAATAAATAGTAAATAAATAGTAAATATAAGTAAATAAATTGGAGATTTGGCCCCGAAGAAGCGAAAAAATTTAATAGTGTAATAAAATTTAATAAATGACAAGAGTCATCGCTGTGTTTCGATTCGTAACATTTTTTGGAGCTATTATGATAATTTTTTTACAGGCTCGCACAGAGATAACTATAACTCCTGTCGTTAATACCCCTGCTCAATCTCACTCCAACGATTTAATCCAAGTGGTAAATACCGCTTTTTCTATTCGCTAAGACATTCTTATATACGTATTTGGACAGTCTGACTGTCACATTAAATTTGCCAGGAGGATGCAGATGAGGAAGCAACGATGATCGATGATAGAAAGGGAAATTTGGTGGGTGGAAGGGATAATAAGCAAATGGCAAAGGACAATCCACCTTCGCCAAGCGCCCCACCAAAGTGTCAAGGATGCATGACTCGTCCTGCACAATTCGTTTGCGCTGGTTGTGGAAATCAGTGGTATTGCAGCCGTGGATGTCAAGTATGCTTCTCCTGACATATATTATGCGATCACAGTCTTATGACTATATTAATGATTATTAATATTTATATCCATAACTTACATTGGGTAACATTTATTATAATCTACAGCTTGCCTCATGGGCGACACACTCCGATTACTGTCCACCTGAGTCCGAAAACAGTAAAGTCAAGTCCAACGTTTAACGCTTAACGTCTCTGCATGCCCGGTGACATCTGCACATCAGATGCGGTATCAGGAGGAAGAGATTCCTGTACCCAATGAATCTAGTCATCAAAACAACTTTGATAATATAATTTGTTTTTATCGTTAAACGAGATGCAGAGACTTAGAAGAAAATTACCGTATCGAGAAGGTTCGAAGAAGGTAAAGTTTAATTTAGCTTTGCTAAATGGGGTATGAGAATAAAATACTTAGTATTCTACCGTTTAAAAAACGGTATCAGGACACTCAAAAAAGAAGAGAAAGAATATAGGGGTCGGTCACTGAACAATAAAAATAATAGTAATTTTATTTAAAAAAAAAAACAGGACACTCAAATTATTTTTCTAATTTAGACGATCATGTTAATCATGGAATACTAATTTTCAGTGGAGCGGAAATTCATTCAATTTATTTTTTTTAAATCTTCAATATTAATTATAATATATTTTTTTGCTTATATGATACAGTAATTTTTCTTTTTAAATTTCTGCTGCATCTTATTTAACGGTTAAAACAAATGATTATTCTTTTTCTGTTAATAATAATTTTATACGATTTTAGAACATCAAATTTTAGGATATTGATTAACTGCGTGCCATTCGTAAGATCAGGAGCGGATTGAAAAACTAAAAATCAATTTGAAATAATATTGTATATATTTTCACATTTTTTTTATTATGAAGTTTACCGTTCTCAACTAGTTAATGCACATTTTACAGATTATATAGATATTATATGTTACAATGGAATATTTTATTCAACAGTTTATATACTCAATCCGCTTCTACATAAAATTAGTTTGCCATGATTAGCATGGACGCCTAAATTAGAAAAATAATTAAAATGTTTCCTTTTTTTATGAATATGAATTTCATTCTTCTCTTCTCTTCTCTTTTTCTCTCGATTCCGATTTAAATCATGAAGATAAAAAATAACTGGATGGAGCATTTAAGCAAAAATTATAAGAGGCAAAATATAATGAATGTGCCCAGTACGTGTAGCATCCATGATCGCAAATTGCTTCACAATAGATCTATAAATATCTATAAGTGTCTCTCGCTTTGCCTTGGCTTCAGCGTTCATTAGAATTTGTTTCAAAAATACATTTTACACTCTCCGTCCAGTTATTTCTACTATCCATGATTTACACAATGTATTGAGTTTCACATATGAAAATGCAAGTCACGCAAGCACAAGTCAGGACTGCATACTATTGATGTAGAAATATTGTATCATAGTATACACACTATTTTATATTTATCTTTGTTACCAATGTATATATGTTTAGGCACATGATACAGGAGCTACAGTCATTCAGTCGCGCTGCAAGTCGATGCAGCCAAGCGTGCCTCGATCTTCCACATACATTTCTATAGAAAAGTTTTAAAAACTCTATACACTACTTGATCATAATTGCAAGTAGGTCATCCGTATACCATGGCCCTTAGATTTAATAAAACTTTAGTTTTAGCATAGGCGTAAGATGTTTTCTCATTTTTTATTTCATTAATGACATTCGCGTATGTTTAAGATTTTTTTCTTTTTAATCAGTATGTTACCTAAACGACGATTGTACCCGACATAATCTGTAGCCCAAAGTTCCTATCAGGCGCATACAACATTATATATATTATATATAATTATATATATATACACACATATATATATATATATATTTTTCCCAATTACAAAGCAGACCAAAATAAAGTTTTTAATCGTGTACTTTGTATGACTTGAAAAACTAGACTTCTGTGCCTTTTCAATTGATTTTACTAATTGTCATATGTATATAACTGTAGAAATCTGTAGAAATCTTTGTAGAAATATCTTATAAATACTACATTAATTTCGAGGTAACACAAATTTTAAAAAACATTTCACATTTGTTTCGATGTAGTTAGTTGTGTAATTTGATCGTTTCCGCACATGCTCGTTTATTTTCAACTGAATTACATTTGTTATGTTAATATCTGCGACAATTAATACAATTCATGAAATGCAAAATGGCCCATTTTTTTATAATCGTATTAATTATTTATATTATTGGTCTCACTCAGTATTATTTTTTACAACATTAATTTTAAAATAAAAACCTAAATTAAAGAATTAACTCTCATAGACCACAGTCATCTTACAGATTTGAGAGTTTAAAGTGTACACTATTAATAGTGAGATCAATGTTACACACAGATAAAGCTACAATCAAAACTTTAAATATCGAATCGGTATTATTTTGCATATCACACTTTCAATCAAAAAATGAACGGATGAGAATTGTACTACTTCTGCTGTTGCGCAACAGAATCTCGTTTTCGTATAAAATAATCCACGTCTTTTAGATACAAAATCGTTCGCAGATCATCGTAGCTAAAGCCAGCTTTTTCTTGAAGTTTTCTGAAGCCTCTTGTTTGTATCGCGTGTATGGCGACATGATCCTCACGAATATCGCAGTTTTGGCTGCGAGAATTATAAAGAAAACATAAATTTAAAAATTTGGATTCCTCCTTATAAAAAATGTCATCATCATGATTAAAGGGATTTTCGATCGTTGTGTTAGGACCAACGTCTTTGATGGCGCATGTAAAGTATCGCATAAAATCTACGTTGTCGACGTCGGATTGAAGATTAAGGATATTCGATAAAATTTGTTCATACACGATCTCTTCATGTTGCAGCGTGTAATGGACAATACTACTATTCGTGTATTTTTGCACCAACATCGATACGATCTTGCGTATTTCTGCAATCTCGTCTTTCAACAAAATCAAACAACATTGCATAATCGTTAATTGGTTTCTATCGTTTAATAGTTGGAAACTATGCAGCGTAATTTCGATGTATTCCACTGCTCTCAATCTCACGGATTCTTTTTCGTCCATACATAAGTCGAGAACGTGCGACAGCACTTCATTTATCGACGCTTTGCAATTAGAAAATGCTAGAATCAGTGAATTTTTCACAGGAATCATATATGAATTGGCGACGGTCATCTCAATCTGATTAAACTCTTCTGTTATTTTATCAAATTTTGGCTTATTTAATTTTATCTGATCGATTGATCCGCTATCGCTTGATAGCCAATTAATTTCCAAACTAGCATGTTTTATAGTTTTTAACGTAAACGTTACCATTTCGTCGAGTACTAACTGGTGGCGCTTATTCTTTATCGACATTAAGTATCTGAGAATAAATTCAAGTAGAGGAATCCAGTGAGACAAACCTTTCAAGAATTCGATCGGTATCTCAGGACAATTTGAATTCAGAATATGATATACATAATGTTGATCGAATCTTAGTTCTAATTGGAGATTTGATTCGTTTGATTGGGGATTTGATTCATTAATTGGGATCCAGCATTTAGTATCGATCGCATATAGCCGCGCCCAGTATCCAACAAACTGAAAAAATCCAGGTTGAATTTTCTCTTGTGTTTCTGACAACATTATATATTCAATTACTGGAAGATGAGAACAGATCGCTGGTGTACTCATAAGACGTAAATGGGATATTTTAAATTGCTGAAGAAATAATATTTTTACCATATAACATGATTGCATCGTGTTCCCTGTGAAGTACATGAATTTGCTTAACTCATCTGTCAAGTTGGATGTGTCAATGTTTTCCGGTGTTTCAAAGTGTATATCGTCTTCAATCAATTTTTCTTTTAAATAACTAGAAATTAATAAGTATCCATGCAACGTATTAGCATCATGAGTTGAAAGAGTATTTTCTATTTCCTTCTTGGCATTTTCTATTTCCAACGTAATAAAGCTGAAAGCCGTGAGAGCTGTATATGCTTTAGCGACCAATTGTCTGACGTGTATCATCGGATTACCGAGAAAATCGCGCAATAAATATTTCATGTTTTCCCTACATTCTTTCGTGGGATAATCGAAAATACCATCGTTCGTCGACAGTTTGGATAACAATATGAGTATGTGTACGATGCTCGAATAGGAACGTAGCGCCACGTTCGAAGTTCCGCACATCTTTGAGATTTTCCATAATTGTATCCATATAAAAAACTTCAACTTTGGAAAATGCGTCATGAAGTGATTGACGGAGTAACCGTTGCCGAAGTCCAACGCGCCGCTACCTCGCCCGGAACACTGGCCCACCAATCTTGGCACCACGGCGCCGTACAGTTGCAAGCTTGCGTTCCTGTAACGGCATATATCAATCCGATGAAAGGAAATATCACAAAGAGCATCCGAAATATCATCTAGATAAAAAACCACTTTACCTTACAGTCCAAACGTCGGATTCCATATACTTGAAACACGTTAAACAAATATCCTCCATGTACATAACTAACTGCGAGTGTATCTCTTTATCAGCTACCAATGCGCGCAGGAAGTGCAGACGTTTCGCCCACGGTGAGTCGTCTCCGACTTCTACATTCTCGACGGCTGTCATCGAGTTTTTCAGCGAGCGCAATAACATCTGTACCGCGAGATGCGCCATAGGTCGATCTCGCCGATTATCGCTGACGACCAATCTGTGAAACATAATCGACAGTCCGGCACCCCGTCGCGTTAAGTGCAACGATTTTTCCATATCTTCCTCCAGCAAACGTGTCAGATATGTTTTCGGCAGCTCGGAGTATTCCTTTTTGTTGTACAAACATCTAAGATAATTGTATTAATTTTATTTATTATTATTATATAAATACTTCCAATGTAAAGTAATGATTTTGATTATGTGCATTTGCATTACGTAAATTTATGTTAATTATTATATCAAATAAGATTTGATTGAAATAGTTACCTGGATAAATTCGCAATTGCTACCCCAGCAGATTCTATTACGCCTTTATGCCGGCACTTCAATAGTACTGTAACGATAATATCCATGGAACATTTTACTTGTGCATCTGAATGCGCCAACATCCCGATTTCGCTAACAATCTCACACGACACCTACATTAAAATTGTATTATTGTTTCCAAATATGTTGTAATAATTAATTGTATAATTTATCTTATTACAAACTAATTATGACGAGCGCACATATTTTACCTTTAAGGACATCCAGATACACGACATAAGCATTTGATGTGCGGGCGATAATTGCAATTCATCATAATTAGAATTGTCTACTTCACTTGTCTTGATTTTCTCATTGATGGCTAGTCCCATTTCGGCAAATGAAGAGGAATAATCTGAACAAATATTGTTTTATAAGCTACATTATTTTTGTTAAAGATCAATTTCTTAACAAAATAATTATTACTTATTTTAATTGTAGATCGCTAACAGATTATTAGCAATATAATTTTTTAATAATTGATAATTAATATTGTTTATAAGTAGACATACGCACCCGTAGTCGATGCTTCCGTAGATAATGCAGATAAAAAGAAGTTGATGGCATCTTTCAAAAGATTTAACACTTCTTCCGTAAATAGTGACGTTAAAATCCAGTTCTCTGGGCCATTGCGAAAAGCAATTGTCAGCAAAGCAGTCAATATGCCATAGAAAGGTCTATTCTGGACTATGGCTTTTAAAATATCGCTTTTTACTTGTGCTAATTGACATCGAGCTTCGTCCAATAGAAATTTTGAGTAACTCGAATAAGAGAGAATATTGTGTTCAGCATTCGAAAATATTACAGGCACGTCTTTAGAAGTTTCATTCAAGGGCGACCAGTGTGCTATGATCTTTATGAAGGCTGCTCCACTTTCAATTTTGTAGAATTTGGAAGAATTGCAATGTTCCCATCCACAATCGTACAGTACCTAAAGTCAATTTTATTAATATAACTTACATAAATGTCAAAAACATTTTCTCAACAAATAAAAAATCGTTAATTTTGAAAGAAAACGCTTAAATATAAGCATGTAATTATCACAGATTTCTTACCTGTTTTTCCGTAATTGACAAAATATCTTTTTCAAAGTATTCCAGAATAAGCGTAGTAGCTAATTGTGTGACATCAAGTGCAGAATCCAGTACAAGTCTTAATAATATAAACAAGCTCTCCTTGTTGGTAAACCTCCAACTATGACTGGTCTTCAAGTGCTTGTCGATCACCGTGATACAACGAAGGCATTCCCCATGGCGAGCACAATTCTTTTGTGAATGTTGATTCATGAAAGAGAGCAAAGTTTTATACAAGTTTAAAGCCAGGATTTTACGTTGGTAACACGAGCCAATTTCGAAACAATCCAGGAAATATTCGTGCAACCATTCCATGAACTCATAAATTGATTGTGGGCAATCGGCCTCAGTGCTAATCATTTTTAAGATACTTGAGATGAATGTTTTAAAATATTTGATTATCCCTTCTCTCATAAAGACTGTTGCAGCATTGGCATTAAACCATAGAAATTGTTTTATCAGCGAGAAAGGATTCTCTTTGTTAATATCGATTAAATCGCCAGCACAATGGCAAACCACAGCAAAAGCGTTTAATCGTATGATTTCTTCTTTATCTTTCATGTAATTTTCGATATCATCTACTTGCAGATCTATGTGTAATTCAGCAGCTATTCTTTGTAAGTACGAACGAAAGAAGTATCCTTGCAATTGGTTACTTAATTTCCACAAAAGCGGCAGAAAGTCTCTGTACATTTTAATAGTAGGTTCGAGCCAATACTTGCACAATGATTGAAGAGCACCGTGATCCTCACTTTAAAAAGAATATGATTACAGAATATTAGCTTTGAATAAAATATTGGATAAAATATTAAATTACAGAATGCAAGCTTTGGATTGCAAAAATAAAATAAATTGCGCATTTATTAATTTAAAAGCTACAAAAAAATTGAAGAGCAAAAGAGATAATTAAATCTAAAGAGTTTCATGATTATTATAAAAAAAAACAATCTTTCTTCATGACAAAGAATTATCTTGCACACTTACTGTTCTCCTGATTCCCAACGATGAATAAAAAGTTTTATAATCTTTTTAAACCATATTTTCCATTCGTTCTTGTCCAATTTTCTTAACATTACTAGGTAAACTCTCGTGCTGCCACAACGTAAAGAATTTCTTGTTAAAGCAATGCATAAGCTATATATAAAGTAATGGAAAAGTTTACGCGATTGAAAGGTGTATGAAATGTTCGAACTCATTATAAGTTTGAGTGCATTTTGTACTTGAAAAATTTCCGCCAAGATATTATATTTTGTTTCGTTTTGCCACGACATGCAGTTGCAACACTTTTTGAACATATAAACTAGAAATGCTTCACCATATTTCTGTGACATTATTTGAAGATATATATTAAAAATTTGTGCGTTCTGCTTGCATATGTCATTAATTGCATTTGACCAATTAGTGAATATAATGGCCTCTAACTTTCGTTCTATTATACAATCATTTTCGCGTTGGAAAGCCACATCGGACATCTTCTGAAACCTCTTCAACCATATGTATAACACCTTATACGCGAAGTAAGAATATTTGGTGTATGTTATACAATTTATGTATATTTGATCAATCATAAGAAAAAGAGCGTCGTATTTGGCCATATCTGTTTGATTCGTCTGTAGATATCCATAAGCGTTCAGTAACTTGAATAATTCAAGATCGCAAACAGTGTATTGTTTGTCGAGAAAGCACAAATCATGCGACTCCAGCGCTTGAAATTGCACTGCAATGTTCAAAAATTGCGAAGTACATCGTGCCGAGAGCAAAGCGTAGAACGCATTAGTCGCTAACAGGATACGATCATTTCCTAATTCGGAATTGCTACTGATTATCTCTACAATATGCGCCAGAACCATTTGCCATTCTTCTATCCCTTCGCTTGCAGAACGATCGTGCAAGGGCGTGATGCTTATCAATTTCTGAAAGGAAGAAGTAAATCGCTTTAGATCAAAACTGTGATAAAACATATTATTAAATATTGTGGTGGAATAAAGATTTGAGAGAATACTTACTCGAAAAATTGGCACATCCTCTTGACAGTTTTGTAATTCGTCGAACACGTCATTCGGCTTCATGTTTTTGCGAAAAGTGTAATGATAATGATAATGACAGATTTACAATTTCATTTGACTCCTTCGTGAAACTTGTACTTCATAATATATCGAAATTAATGTTGAAATATTTTTTTCTAATTGCGCGAATCTTTATCTGTTATTTGTAAATCGAGAACTGCTTGGCTCTTCTTATCGACTGTTTGTTTCGGCAAATCAGATCTTGTAGAACTTTGCATCTCACCATCAAGGCAACATACCCTGCAATTAATGGAGAATAATCATGTTCTCATGAGCGGTAATGATTAGAAGAAAAAAAGGAAAAAAAAAGAAAAGATGATATAAAAGTAATCAAATTGTAATTAAATCCGCAAAAAGCTATGCGTCGGATTTTAAGAATCTCTATGAAAAGTTATTAGATAAATTTAAGTATAGTATGAAAGCATGTGATCGAAATAATTATCAGATTAGCTTAGTTTCGATATTACATCCTAGAACGCTCGGAGTTTGAGAAAATGAACGACTTCAGAATTCCTGTGCAATACCGGTTAAGGATAATAGAACATCACAATAAAACCATTACGTTGTTATTTTTAAGCATTTTGTTTATTATAATCCAAGAAATAAAGATAACAATGTAAAGTCAAAAAACATTCCTATGAATAATGTATGAAATTAATTGTTTAATAGTTAATATTAATAGTCGGATATGAGAGAGAATTTCTATGAATGTAATACAATCAATAGATTAGTCTCAAGTTTCCTTTGGCTCTGCAGGAACATACCCCCCCTTCTCTATTTGCTCTTTGAACTTCAAGTAATCTCGCTTACGATCAAAGTGTTTCACCTGCGTAACAGTGGCAGAAAACTTGTTAGAAAAAAAAGTTCTATTTTTACTATTGATGTTAAACACAGAGTACATACTAAACATACTTTTCTGCAAATACTGATGAAGGATATCATCTGTAATACTTACCCATTGTGATGGGCAAAATTTTTCATACTGTTTCCTAAACTCCATACACTCTGCTTCAGATTTGCCTTTATCTAGACATTGCCAATATTCGTCCCTGCGTTTCCAACAGTTCAAACGATCTCCTTTGTTTGGAAAAGACATCCTGTAATGTAAAAAATATTTAAAAAATCATATTTTCTATAGCTTTTTTTTAAGATATAATAAAATATACAACATAGATTTGAACTTTTATTAATTTGGAATAACTTTAAACTAATATTTTTTTAAATATGACGTATAAGATGATACACAATGATGCTATAATGAGCTATTTTCTATCATATTAATTATTATATAAATAAATATGAAACAAATATATAACACACACATACACTTACCTATGATATTTAATTTTTTAATTATATAGCAATTTTATCAAAAATTCACTCACTCACTTTTGATCTTCTACAAAATCATTACTGTACAACAAAATATGTAAAGTTTATGAAATTATAATTATAAAATAAGAATAACATATGGTGAATATTTAATTCTTCAATATCAAGGTTATTCTTATTAAACTAGAATTTCACTTTACAACAATGAGAAAGATAAAAAAAGATTTGTCTATATTCAGAGTTAATTACATAATTATTCTTGGAAAAAATAATTCCAATTGTTATACCACAATTCTCTTCTTTTCCATTGATTTAATATCAAGTCAAAATTTCAAATTTTTTAAACATTTAATAAAAGTGTAATAATTCCTTGTGTAATAATATATAGAATATAGTTAAGTTAATTCCACACAACACAAAGTAATCAAACAAAGTTTTATATAAAACAAGGACTAAATAATGAAACTTAAGATGTCATACTTCACAATAAATAATAAATTATACAATTGCATATTGCGATAAAATTATATAATGTTGACTTCTGTTTATATTATAAAACTATAAATAATTGATAATTTATAAACATTATTATATAAACAAAAATTATATTAAGAAATAGTCTAATCATATATATGATTCGACATGTTTAGGAAAAAAATGATGAGAAATTGTGTAATATGTACATATGTACATTCTTAATTTAACCAACGCAATAGTAATACATGTGACAAAACTGTGAAATTTAGAAAATAACTACAGTCCATTCTATTATAGAGGTCACATACTCCTGTTACCACTGCTCACTAACTAATTCTAGCAAAGTTTACTTAAAGTTTATTTTTGACTGTGTAAAAATAGATTTTCAAAATGCCCATTACATGATCTACTTATATAACCAACTTAAAAAAAAACAACATTAACTTAATAAAAAAAATTACCGTTGTATATCATTGTTATATAGTTTGGTTTTATTGCAAATAATAATAATGTAATGGAAAATAAGTTTTATTATTTTCATAACGTGGGATAATGTTTCGAAAATTGCGATTAAACATGGTTATGTATATTTGACAAATTTAGTTACCAACTGCAAAAACAATGCTTTTGTCGAAAAGTATTGCAAATCAAATCGACAATATCGATTTATTTATTAAACGTACACTTATAAAAGTCTGAAATGATTAGTAGCTTAAGCATCATGAGAGTTTGACTAACCTGAATTTTTATCGTATTAACGGGATGACAACTAATGACAGCAGACTACCTCATGAATGGAGCAATCATTTAGTTTTGCTTATTTCAAATATAATGCAAAAATAAATTTCTTTATCAATGATTGCTAAGATTGTTCCTCATTTATCAGGCCGGTCAAGTCATGAGAATTCATTCCATATGACATAACCTATATAACCTCTATATTCTTCAGATACAAAAATGACAAGAGTGTAGGACATTTCGTACATTGAATGCAGTGTGAAATCCACATAATTCATTATGATGTATTCATACTGCATTCATTATACGATTGCATGGAAACGCACCAAAGTCACGTGACAATCTTGCACCTTGAAGTTTATAAATATATGCGCTTGAAAACACTAATGTAAGATTCAGGATGATCGATAGTTTCGGTAATAGAAAATAAAAGATCTTATTGAAAAAACACTAAAGATATATTTGACAAACAAATTAGTTCACACGAGTTTCTGTTAAAAGGTATTCTCACCTTTTTAATCAAATAATGCACGCTCGCATTGAATGTCACTAGATGCACGCTCGCACCGTTCACTTATAAATTGTTCTGTCTTTTAATTTGCGAATTCTCCGAACCGAACGCACACTTGCGCGGTCGAAAGGACTCTCTTTTTCTATGTTTGTCTCTCTTCGCTTGCTCAATTCAAACTGACTCCGAATCAATGACTTCTTATTTATTTTGCCTTCTTTTATACTCTAGATGGCCTTTTATGTTTTCGATGCACAGGTGGCCTACTCATTGAGTTCTATAACATACTGGAGCGAGCTTTCCTATCCCGAACAAAGAAAACTGCGTCCGCGATTTAGAAAAGGACACATATAGCAATGTAAGGATTTCTGTCTCTTTTTACGTTCTATTGCTTATGCTGAAAACATACGCTGACAAGGAAGACTAGCCTCACGTAATCTATCTGTCTTTTTCGACCGATGGAGACATCCCTACTCCTGAAAGGCTCGCTCCAGTATGTATAGAACTCAATGGCTTAGTTTACACCAATTGTTTAGTACACGTACCAAATACTAAATCAGCTTTTTTGATTGGTGTAGATTTTACCCTAAACGATTTATACCTATTGGAAAAGCAGATTTAGTATTTGGTACGCGTACTAAACAATCGGTGTAAACTAATAGCGTTTTCGAATAAACGGGGTTTGAACGATCTAGGGTTGATCAATCACTATTTTACTATAAATGCAAGTCTTTCATTGGTGGAGAGGTTGCAATGACGTCATTAACCAATCTTGGGTCGTTCAAATCCTGTATAATCGAAAACGCTATAAGTCAATGGGCCTACCGACTAGCTTACCATATATGTATTTACATATCTCTATTACCTATACTCTTACACTAATGTCTAACTTATTATACTAATTTAGGTTAGAAAAATAATTATACGGTTTTTAGTGAAAGTAATTGTGTTGTAATTAATTACATTTCCAAAATGTATAATTATATGAGGAAGTGGTTGTCTCAGTCATGAATTGTCAGTGAAAATTCATAGAAAAATTTGTAATTTATGTATTTATTACGTGAACACTCATCATGACAGACAAGAAACAATCAAAGGACAAGTAATACGTAAAATATACAATAATAATATACAATAAAAGGTATTTTTAAAGTTTTATTATAAAAATATATATTATTAAGTTAATTAATAATTAATTCAAATTTAATTAATAATTATAAAATAATTAAATTGAAATGTCATGTATTTTAATTAATTTTAAATATTAATATTTATACATTTTATTAATCAGTATATATTTTTAAATGTTCTTTACAAATTTTATGATGTTTTTATGAAACATGATTATTCTATCCTTTTAAAAAGATCAAGTAGAATTTTGATAATGTCACAATGTGATATTTAGTAGTTTTCATTATTAAAATGTTATTCTCCTAAAAATAATTCTTCTCATATTTTATGAAAATATTAACCTTACTGAAATCTTGGATATAGCTGGTATTATATTGAATACTGTGTCAGAGTAAAAGTTTTTAATTTTGGATGTTAAATTTTAAGAATTATGCCCATTATTTTTTACGTGTAAATAGATTTATGTCTATATATTTTCCTGTGTTTGAAGTAAATTTGATCAAATAAAATTAGTCTGAACAAAAAATGTGAAACATTTTGTTTATTTCAGTTCCAATATAAAATTTGCAACAATATCCAGTTTGGACAATGTAATCTCCTTCATTCATTATAATTTCATTAAACAATATATTTAGCTTGACCTTACCGATTATATCTTTTGCATACAAATGAAATTGCGTTTGCATGGGCGGAGAAACGCGACCGTAATCCCTAATTTTATCTTATTACGTTTGTTCATTGATTTTTCTCCTACTAACAGATGCTACCTGGATTTTCAAGACGCACGAGCCTTCAAGATATATAAAAAAAAAGAGATTTAGAAGATGTCCTTATATACGTTTTGGATGTTTGCGTTTGCAGAATTAGTCCTATGGAGCAACCGTCGAAAATTCGTGAATGAATCGACATCTTCGTACTGTGTGACGTCACTGATAGCCAGTTCTCTGTAATAGTCGTCCGTGAAAGAGGGGTGGCGATCCATGAGACGGCGCGTGCGTCCTCGTCGGCGTCGCGACGCGTCGGAGAAGCGCGACGCCAGCCGCACGGGACGAACAAACAGCCAGCCAACTAGACAGATTCTGCCGCCGACTTCTTTTCATCGTGTCCGAGTTCCGGTGCGGGAGAACAGCAACAGCACGAGAGATGCGACGATGAAAAGAAGCCACGAAGACGACGGATCTGAAAACATTCTCCTCAGAGCTGAGAAAATCTCGCCCCACTCGCGCGCTTCCGTTTTCTCCGCTCTTCAGATGAAGATTCGCCGCTGCGCCTAGCGCATTCTCCACCACCGTGCAGTGTGATTTATTTCGTGCACTTCCCAGAGAAATCCCCGGCTCGTATCTCTTTCTCTCTCCCTCTTGGCGGCAGAGAGAGAGAAAGAGAGAAAAGAAGAAAAAGAGAACGGAGCATCCGCTCCGTTTCGTGCGTTCCGTTCTAATTGATCGATAATACGGACCCGCGCTCGGATAATAAGGTCGCGCGCGACTAATTGCGATCCGGATAACGCAGAATCACACCAGTATTCACAGGGCGGAAGAGGAGAAAGAAGAATCAAAGGAGAAGTTTCGCTAGGAGGTGAAAAAGCGCCCTTAGGCGTGTACGATTCGATTGTATGCCTTGGGCTACGTCCACATATATGATGAAATTACAGCTGCTCGTTATCGAGACGGACTACTGCTGGAGGAAAGCGTTGCTTAGGTAAGCGATCATCTGTTTGTGTTTTCTGCTTCTTATGTGTGCTTATTATCTGTTTTTTAGCGTATTATTTTACTTTGGCAATTTGTAGTTGCATGAATGATATTAAAAATGAACGTGGTATTGTTACAAGAAAAATCTAAATCGCTTTTGTATCATCTGCAAATAAAGGAGCTGTATTGCGGTAAATTTCTTTTATTTTAGTTTTTCTTAATTGAGATTATTATTATTAAAAAGCCAGACAATTGTTAGTAGATTCAATTCTTACTCATCAGTTATCGGATTAAATAAATTTGGTCCGTGACGAAGAGGAGGAGAGCAATGATTTACATAGTGGATCTGACAGTAACAAGTTTAACAATGACACGTTCAACAGCATGGCGATAATTTCTGTAATGCAGTCTCCATTGTTTTATACTGTTTGTTCTCATTTATAGCACTTCGACATCTCTGTCACGAGATCTATATTACTATCAATTATTTATCATGTTATCCATTACTTTGTTATTACAGTTACATTACGCGTTATCCGATCATCGCACGAAGGAAGGATCAGATCGTATATCATACGGCCGCGTTCGTACCCCCAGCCAGATTGCGATTTGCAAGCGGCATTTAAGCAGCGTCAATGATGTACATCATCCGCTTTGAATAAAGCAATATTTTCATCGTTAATACTATATCATCTTCCATTGCTCTCATCTCATTCATTTTCACGCTCCACGAGGCTGGAAACATCTCCCATTTATCTGTGACGTGATTACATGTCAGCAAGTAACAAATTATTTTTATTATTTTTCCTATTAATATTCTAGTTCTATTATTTATTCTTTATTTCTATCATTTATTCTTTATTTCTATCATTTATTCTTTATTTTTATCATTTATTTTTTATTTCTATCATTCGTTGAAAACAAATTAATCGTTTGTTGACTTGTTGGTTTATTGATTAGTGTTGTTTTTGCAAATATTTAAAAAGTGATTAATCGATTTTGTTTTCTATCTACGTAGTACCGATAACGTATTACTTATGATGTTCCGTTCTTAGATGGTACTTGTTGCGTTGTAGACAGCGGTAGACAAATTAGCTTAAGACCGGTTTAAATATTGATTAATTATAGTTAATTCTAACGTAGCCTCACGTAGTTAAACTTTTTTTTAGTTAATACCCGCTGTAATATAGATAGCGATAAAATATTTAATTACTTGTGATTAAAAAATGCAAATGCAATCTTAGTAAATCTATAATTAACGTCAACTGACGATCAATTCCAATTCAATTTAATTATGTACATAGCAAAAATTGATTCTAAATCGAAATTTAATTAACGTAATTTATATTTAATTCTGACGTCCGTACAAAACGACCAAAGTGACGTTTTGAGTTTTCGCGGGCAAATGTCTGTCGATAATTCAGTACTTCGAGTTTCTCGCGATCGCCACTGATGCGCTTGTATCGCCACACGACATAGCACAGTCGATAGATCGCTCGCGACGTCGAATAGAGCCAAACGCAATGTGTGTCAATGAAAATCACGGATTCTCATAGACGAATTTGGCAAAATCAAACGTGCGATTCAGTCCCGTGGCTTCCGTCCTTCCGTCATCTTTTCATTTACAATTTGCCATTCCATTTCGCATTCTTTCGTTCGCAGATGAGTGCGAGATGAATCGTCAGGTAACGCCATCTTCGTTTTTCTTTTTTTTCGCCGCGGAACATCGTCAGAGCGCGCAAATCACGGCCGAAACGGCGCTCAGTGTGCGCGAGCTTTTGTGCGCGTAGTAGTCAGTGCGTGCGGCAGCGGTGCGAGCGAATGTACGGACGCAAGTAAATCGCCGCCGGTGGCGTCGTCCAAGTGTTATACACAGAACGGAGCGGAGCGGTGCGGAGAGCGTGTGTTGCGTTCGTTACTCACACATACGCACGTATGTGCATGCATGTCTGACCCCGTGCGTTGCCGTCGCGTGTGACCGATGAGTTTGCGTCGTCCCGGGAGTTCGTCGTCGCCGAGAGACGTACGCGAGCCCGAAGAGGAATCGTTTGCCGTCCAGTGTCCATGTAAAATCATTCACTAGACTGCCAACCCCCCTCCCCCGCTCCTCCGTTATATAGTTGGTTAGTTTCGTTCGTGTGTTCGTTTGATTAGTGTTGTGGCGGCTCCTCTCTCGTTTCTCTCTGTCACAACCTCTTTCTTTGCCTTATCTGTTTAATTTTTTTTTTTCTTTCGCTCTCTCTCGCTTTTTCTCTTCTCTTTTAAAGAAAGCGCTCGTGTTCGAATGCGCGATTTATTGGTTATGTTTTCCGTTATACCGTTTGGCATGTAGTATCAGCACACCGTGCAAAGCTGTTTAACTTCTTTGTATGCGTACACGCATTTGGCAGCAAAAGAGAGTGAGAGAGAGTCAGGGAGGAGGCTGCACTGTAAATGACATAGTAGTGCGTGTACGTATAAAAGTAAAATGCATAAGTTAAGACTACCTGTCAAGGTCGAATTGCCCAGTGCTTTAACAAGGTATGGCGAGACCTAATTTACAGGTATTATTATTTTTTCTTTTGATTTGTGCCGCATGTAGCATCGACTATTGTTACGTTTAAGTTTCCGGATGCATGATTCTGGGTGCCGGTGCATGCCAAAACTTTGTCTCACGCTTCGTTGTCGCTCTACTCGGAATCGCGTATCTTTCAGATTGCTACATTTATTTACGCGTAGTTCTTTTTTTTGTCTGCTATTCTCGATTTTTTATGGGCGATTAACTTTATTCAAATTTATTCAAGTTTATTTAGTTTTATTAATTTCACTTTAGTTTTATTCTCGTAGAAAAATGATTCATATTCGTTTTTGTTTGAAGAAACTATTAAAGGCATAAGGAAACATATGTATGCTATTATTCTTACAGTATGGACATTGTACTGTGCTCTTATTTCAGTCAATATCATGACAGTGCGATTTTGCTAATGATATCATGCTAATGGCAGTATGCTTATTTTGCGCCTAGAATCATGGAATCTACTGTAATTATACGTATTTTTTCTTTTCAGTCGTTTTTCTCTAATAATTAAAAAAATGTTTGTTCATTTGTATGATGTAATGATTGACGTATATATTAGTGCATAACTTTTTGTTGTACTTCAAAGTTGTTATTAAAGTATCAATTTTTTTGTTGCTCGGAGAATTACAAGTTTGAATTATCGTAACACTAGAGCTTAGCATTTTAAAGATTGCAAAAACTTTTATCGTACAAGAGATATCCAAATATCTATCTTACTAATCGATATGCCAAAATTAATAGCGGTGTTTTATCAACTGATAAGCCAGTAACGTTAGGATAAAAGTTTATATTATTATTTCGCAATTTAATTAAAATCGCGCACAATTCCAAACAATAACTCAATGTTCCACTATTAGCATGCTATAATATGATTTTGATTTATATTCAGTAGAACATTGAATTATTGTTTAGAATTGCGCGTGATATTAATTAAATTGCAAAACGGTAATATAAACTTTTATTACATATTATATATATTATTACGCTTTACATTTGTAGTTCGGTTAACAATTCATATGTTGATTTTGTTACGAACACAATCATTCGACGAATATTTAACAAATCTAAAGAAATTACTCTGTGTTAAAAAATCGTAATTTTGTTTGATTAAATCTCGAAAAATTAAAAAAGACTTTTATTTGACAAATTTTTGATAAAATTTATTCAAATCTATCTAGAGTTTTAATACAATTATTTATATATTTATTTTTATATTAATTTTATATTATGTTTGTATATTTTTTAAATATAAATAACTGTAAAAAATTTATAGAGCCATAGTCTTTTAACATTGCTCGTCTCTTTTATGTGACGAGTTTTGTAACAATTCGATATTGTCAGGACAATTCGTTATCTTATTTTCAGAAAATGACATCAGCTTAGTGAATATTTGTTGAATATACGTCGGGTGTTTGTGAACTTATATCACTGAAAAATATAGCAGTCGCTGCATCGCATAATTACGAAAAATTCCGCAAAAAAAGTGGCTTATCGATTATTTATATTTGTCCCAACTGCATGCACGTGTTGTGATCCGTGATGCAGTTGTGGATCGCGTGTCATTAGGGCGCGTTCACGTGAGTGGTTGTTTGAGCAATAGATATTCATCGCAGCTGGTCCATCTGCTTGCGAGTACATCTGCTGCAGCTGGTCTTTTGCAAATATGAATATAGAAAAGAGAATGCGCTCCGAAATACACATCGCGATTGACGATTTCAATCTTTTAAAATTCCTAGATTTTGGTGTCGCTGTTGATAAGCGTTGAAAAGGAAAGATTTCGGCAACAAATAAATTTCGATAATGAATATTTTAATAAATAAACTAAATAGTTGTAAATCTCACAAAAGATTATAATTATAACGTGCAAATTTAAACGGTTAATTTGTAAGCTAGTTATACGAAACGCAAATTACACCACTTTAGTAAATTATATTATATCACACGTTGTTTTTTAAAACGCGTTTCGGAGCGCGTTCTTTGCTAAGCGAAAAAGCGATAACGATAACTCCGTCGTGTTCGATATGTCGATAAACTCGTCATGTCCTCGATGTTCGAGACGATTAGCCCCTCCTTCCGTTAATTGAGTCCCGCTCGCCGCGGCGACTGTAGTACTATTCTTATGGAAAGCAGCTAACCTTGGCCATTATCAAGCTCAATGCAAGTCCTATTCGTAGCTTCACGTTATCTCGCTCGTAAACTTGTAAACGCCCGATCTTCAACAGCATTTTAATATTTTTAATCCAATTGATTAAGGCATTCTAAATATCTCGAAATTCGGATCTGTAAAAGAGTTTATAATTATATATATATATTTTAAAAGAATTATCACACACACAATTGTCCTAAATTGCGACAGTCGCTAATCCTTTCTCCGAGGATTTAGCGATTCCAAGAAACGCGAGAACAAAGTCCGAAATTTACGAGCTGTCGTCGTAATTCATCGCGCGGGTGCT